AAAAGCATGGTCAAAAAAGAAAAAGACAGATAAATTGAAACTCATCAAAAGTAACGACTTCTGTGCCTCAAAGAACGTCATTAGAAAGTGAAAAGTCAACCCACTAAATGGGAGAAAATAATTTCAAATCATGTATCTGACAAGGCCCTTGTATCGGAATGTATAAAGAACTCAAAACTCAATAATAAAAAGACAAATGACCCAATTAATAAATGGCAAAGGATCTGAATGAGACATTTCCTCCAAAGAAGACATACGAGAGGAGGGTATAGCTCAAATCGTAGAGTGCGTGCTTACCATGCATGAGGTCCTGGGTTCAATCCCCAGTACCTCTATTAAAAAAGCAATCAATCTGTAAATAAGTAAACCTAATTACCTCCCCTTGGATAAATAAAATAAAACAAAAACCAAGTGGGTTGGGAAAGCATGGAAGTATTAAAAAAAAAAAATCTAAGAAGACAAACAAATGGCCAGTAAGTACATGAATGGGTGCCTGACATTGTTTGGCATCAGGGAAATGCAAATCAGAACTACAGTGATGGGGGCGGGGGATATAGCTCAGTGGTAGAGTATGTGCTTAGCACGCACGAGATCCTGGGTTCAATCTCCAGTACCTACATTAAAAAAAAACAACAAAAAAACAGCGAGATACAACTTCATACCCATGGGGATGGCTAGATTCAAAAGATCACATGATAACAATTGTTGAGGATGTGGAGAAATGGGAACCCTCATACCCTGCTGGTAGGAGTTTTAAAAAGGTGCAGCCACTTTGGAAAACTACCAATTCCTCCAATGATTAAACACAGTGTTACCATATGACCTAGCATTTTCATTCCTAGCTAAATATACCCATGAGAAATGAAAACATATCTCCATGTAAAAACTTGTACATGAACATTTATAGCAGAATTATTCATAACAGCCCAAAGGTGAAAACAACCTAAATGCCCATCAACAGATGAATGGATAAGCAAAAGTGGTATGTCCATTCATTGGAATATTATTCAGCCATAAAAAGGAATGACATACTGATACATGCACACCACATCATGGATGAACCTTGAAAACATTGTGCTCAGTGCAATGAGCCAGACACAAAAGGCCACATATTTGATCTGATCACAGGGATATCCACAGTGGGAAAATCTGTAAAGACAGAAAGTAGATTAGTGGTTGTTGAGGACTGGAGTGGAAGGTGGCAGACTAGGGGATGATAGCTAAAGGGTACAGGGTTTCTTATTGAGGTGATGAAAATGTTCTAAAATTGACTGTGGTGGTTAATTATATCTCACTAAAGCTATTTTAAAAATGGGTCATGATGACTAGGCAAATACAATAAAGTATCTGCTCTTTACCTGTTAAGAGTGGGATGCAGAGATGAACTGCTTGTCATTTGAAAGTATCCATGATAATTTGTTCCTTGTTTTTTTTTTAATTGTTGTTTCTTGTTTTCGGGGAGAGAGGTAACTAGGTTTGTTTGTTTGTTTATCTTTAATGGAGGGACTGGGGATTGAACCCAGGACCTTGTGCGTGCTCTACCCTCTACCACTGAGCTATACCCTCCCCCCTCATGATAAATTGTTGAGTGTGAATTAAGGGAAAGAGCTCACAAAACCCTAAGTCAAGTAGACCACTTTGTGTAAAAAAAGATCCATTTTATTTTCAAATATTTTCCTTTTCCTTTATTTGTTTTTCTAATTTCCCTACTATGGAGAATTATTATATAATAAAAGTTTTTTCCTCACAGGCTGGTCTGATGTAAAGCCCAAGATAAAAGTTTCTATTGAATGAGACCATTGCATAGGGTAGATACCAAAAGCTTCACGGTGCTAGGTTGTACTAATCAGAATAATTAGATGAAGGTCACATTTGGATTACATTCAGTTTGGGTCAAGAATGTTAAACTGGAAGACCTTCAGGGGAGGTTATTGAAATGGATAAAGCTATGGTAACAAATATAAAAATGCCTGAAAGAACTGTGGGTATCTAGCTCAGAGGAAAAGACTGCAGGACGGAAAAGCTGTGTTTAAATAGGATGAGGGCTTGTTTTATTGAAGAAGTGGGTTTATTCTGGGTAGCTTTGTGGGCAGAAGTAGGGTATAAAGGGAAAACCTAGAGATTTTTCCTTCCTATGTAGTGAAGGATCTAGTTTTTTTTTTTCCCCTACTGTTTCGCTCCTGTGTGTCTCCTTTATTTTTACACAGTTCACTTTTGGTCACCAAATGTGTGTGGGTTTTTCCCCTACCAAACAATTCTCCACGACACCAGCTGGGTGTCCCAGAATTTCACTTAATTCTGATGCCATCTGCCTGGAGACAATGTCAGATCCCACAGCTTAAGGGCTTAGTCCCCCAAGACTGCTCCCTTCCCTGACTTCAGATGGCCAGTCCCAAGCAGCTGATCCCCACGTTACCCACTACTCCTGTCTGATTTGGCTACAAATCAGAGGTCCCCGTGACCCCCTCCTCAAATTTGCGTGATTTGCCAGAGCTGTTCACAGAACTCAGGGAAACAGATTTACCAGTTTATTAAAGTGGTGGGTGCATCACCCTCTGGGTGGATCCATTCACCCACCCGGAAGCCCTCCAGACTGCACCGCTGGAATTTCATGGAGGCTTTCTCACGTAGGCATCACCAGTTATTAACTCATTTCTGGCCCTTCTCCTCTCTCTGGAGAACAGGGGTGGAGGGGGGACGGTAGTTCCAAGCTTCTAATCATGACTTTGTCCTTCTGGTGACCAGCCCTCAGCCGGGACCGTCCCCCCCAACAGAGTCACCTCATTAGAACAAAAGACAGGAGTATCACCCAGTAATTTACAAGGGTTTCAGGAACTCTGTGTCAGGGACCAGGTCAAAGACCAAATATTAGAATAAAAGATACTCCTAGTGCTCTGGTCACAGAGGAAATTTCAAGTGTTTCTGGAGCTCTGTGCCAAGAACCAGGGGCAGAGAAAAATGTGTATATTTTCTCTTATCGCACACAGGGCCAATAGGTGGAGATAAGTGATGAGATTTCAGCTTACCTTAAGACATAGCTTTTCAGATTATGTAGAGTGGTCTCCCTTACTTGGACAACAAACACCTTGAATCTCTCAGATGATTGGGCGGGAGGTCAGTTTAAGTTGCTGTCTGGCTCTTCAGTTTCAAATTCAATTGGTAATTGTTGTAATGCTGTGACTTCAACTGAAGTATTCAATTACTGTGTTGGGGGAGGGGTAGCACATGTGGCTTAAAATTCCAACAAAGGAACCTTTTGTCTCTTTCCTATAATTTCTTTGATGTTTTCAGTCATTATAATTCATTGCTTTCTGTATTGTGGTAAAATATCTATAACATAAAAGTTATCATTTGAAGCACACAGTTCATTGGTGTCAAGTACACTCACAATAGTGGGTAACATCACCACTATCTATTTCCAGAACTTTCTCATCCTCTGAAGCAGAAACTGTGCCAGTTAAATAATTGCTCCCCATTCCTCCTCTCCCTTCCACTGGTAACCTTTATTCCACCTTCTGCCTCAAGAAATTAGACTATTCTAGGTCCCTCATAAAGTAGAATTACACAACATTTGTCCATTTGTGTCTGGCTTATTTCACTTAGCATAATGCATTCAAGGTTCATCCATGTTGCATCATCTAGCAGAATTTTGTTCCTTTTTATGGCCGAATAATATTCCATTGTATATGTATACCACATTTTGTTTATTCATCTATTGATGGACATTTGGGTTGTTACCAACTTCGGCTATTGTGAATGGTGCTGCTGTGAACACTGGTGTACAAGTATGTGTTTGAATTCCTGCTTTCAACTGGAATTGCTGGATCATATGATAATTCTATGTATAACTTTTTGAGGAACCTTCAATCTGTTTTTCACAGCAGCTGCCCCATTTTACATTCCCACCAGCAGTGTGCGAGGGTTCCAGTTTCTCCACAACCTGGCCAACATTTGCTACTTTCTCTGGGTTTTTTTTTGAGTCATCTGTGGGTGCGAAGTGATATGTCATTGCGGTTTTGATTTGCATTTCAGTAATGACTGCTGACACTGAGCGTTGTTTCATGTGTTTATTGGCCATTCGTATGTCTTCTCTGGAGAAATGTCTATTCAAGACCTTTGCCCATATTTGAATTGGGTTGTTTGCTTTTTTGTTTTTGAGTTATAAGTGTTCTTTCCATACTCTGTATTAATCACTTATCAAATATATGATTTATAAATTTTTTCTTTCGTCTGTTGGTTGTACCAATTTCATCCTCTTGATAGTGTCTTTTGATGCACACAATTTTAAAAATTTTGTTGAAGTCCAGTTTATCTATTTTTTCTTTTGTTGCCTGTGTTTTGGGTGTCAGATTTAAGAAATCATTGCCAAATCCAAGGTCACAAAGATTTCCTCTGTGTTTTTTTCCTAAGATTTTTATAGTTTTAGCTCTCGACTTTAGGTCTTTGATCCAATTTGAGTTAATTTTTATATATGGTATCAGGTAAGGATCCAGCTTCACTCTTTTGCATCAGTTTATTCAGTTTTTCCAGCACCATTTGTTGAAAAGACTGTCCTTACTACATTGAAGAGTCTTGGCGTCCTTGTCAAAAATCAATTTACCGTATATGTGAGAGTTTATTTCTGGTCTCTGTATTCTATTCGATTGGTTTCTACATTCATCCTTATACCAGTACCATATTGCTTTACAAAGTCATCTCATCGTAGCAAGTTTTGAAATCAGAAAGTGTCTTACGGCTTTGTGCTTCTCTTTCAAGATTGTTTTGGCTATTTGGAGTCCCTTGAGATACCATATAAATTTTCGAATGGGTTTTTTTCTATTTCTACAAAGAAAGCTGTTGGGATTTTGATAAATCACTTTGAATAGTTTTAACATCGTAACAATATTATCTTTCAATCAATGAACATGCGATGTCTTTCCACTTATTTGTGTCTTCTTTAATATCTTTCAACCATTTTTTGGTGCTATAATTAATTTCTTTTTGAAATCTTTTTCTATTTGTTCTTCCTTCTTAAGCCATTAATAACAATCGCCCTGTGTTGACATACCAGAAGCCAGTCAGAAGGGTCTGGTACACAGGTTAACCTGTGAACCACATACTTGCATATTTGTAAACTTTGATTCAAACTTCCTTTCTTGACCCAGGCTTTGGGTATCATTGCTTTTCCTCCTATCAGAGGTTCCTGGCTCCTTTCCAGGGCTGCATATAACTTAACCGGTTTGATAGTTTTGGTTTCTCCTTTCAAAAAAATCCCCGAAGGACCATAAGTCGTTGATGAATACAATCACAACACCAAATATACTTCTGTTTTAGAGCAGAGCCACTGTTTTCCTTGGCATCTCACTTTAGACCTGCTTAGTGTCAAATGCCATCATTTTCTCACAGTTGAGGCGATCCTGCCGTTACAGAACAAAAACCCCACGAGAAAATCTGAAGATCTAACTGGCTTTGCTAAGCTATTCATGAATCAGGCAGCATCCTGTCCAGCAAGCAAAGAGATACCCCGAGCAGTTGTAGGAAATGGAAGGTTTATAGGCAGAAGGAGGGTAGGGTGAGGCAGTTATTAGCAAAAGAAAAGAAAGGATTGTTTCAGGTCAGGACTTCTCCGGGAAGGAAACAGCAGGGGTCTTGTGCAGATTACCTCCTAGTGAGGACCGGAGAACCCCAGACTGAAGATTCAGATCACATCCCTGGGGAAGGGAGACTGCAGCTGCATCAGATGTGAAGTCTCGGTCTGGTGTCTGGGCTTTAGCACTGGCGGCGCCATTTGGTCACCATTTGGTGACGCCTGAAGTTTTCTTATGACAGTAGGTCCCAGAGTTTTAGTCTAGCTTTCAGTCCATCTTCATCATCCCATTTTCTAGATTTTTGGTCCTATGCTCACGATTACCAGCAACATTTAGTGACCTGAGCTACATGCAGGCCTTGTTCAGCATCTCGGGCAGTTTCTGCTCGTTCTTTGGCTATACTTTGACTTTTCTGATATTCTGCTGTCAGATTTAAGAGTCTTCTCTTTTATGGAAAGAAACCAAAAGAAGGACGTTCCAGTCACGTGGTTTATTTCATATCCCTATTCGTATATTTGACATCCATATCCATATGTTTATATCATGGATTTTGTTTTCCCAATGAGGAGGGAATGGTTTTCCAGGGTCAAAGAACTGAGAAATCCCCATTAGCTGAGTACCTACTGTATGCAAATGAGATGATTCCTAGACTTCTTTGACAGATTGCTTTCCCTATAGAGTAGCTTGCTTTCATTGATACATTTCTTCAATCATAAGAATGTAACATTTAAAAATAAATAATCCACTAAAATTTAAGGTGTTTAAACAAAGTTCAGGTAGTTTCATTACATTCATGTTGAACTTCTGATGAGAGATTTGACTTTAAATTGTTTTTAATGTCCTCTCTGAACTAATGTTTATATTTTTTCTCAGCTTTCTTTTCTTAAATTTGAAATTTTCTTTACTAAAAATTAAATAACCAGAGGATAGGTTTCTTTAATTTTCCCGTATTCCATTAGAATATTGATTTAGAATTCTTATTGCTCTGGGATATTGGTTCAGCCAGAGAGCAAAGGCTCTTTTTTATAGAGGAACACCGACATTGCATGGATTTAAATTTTGCTGTTAAAGAGATTTAGGTTTAGAAAAAACTTCTACAGTCAAATGAAATTAAACTGTGATTCAGATGCAAATTTTCACCCGCCTCAACCCACCCTACCAACCAAACTACCACTTCTGATTTTCTTTTTTAAGCTTATAAGTTAAATTTGGTCCCCTTTGTTTATTTTATTTTGTTTGTTTGTTTTATGAGGGGAGGTAATCAGGGTTATATTTGGAGGAGGTGCTGGGGATTGAACCCAGGACCTCGTGCATGCTAAGTACACGCTCTACCACTTGAGCTGTACCCTCCCCACCACTTAAAATTTCAATACTCAACGTTTTATCCCATCTTTTTCTATGAACCACTAACTTCTTGCCTTTGATTCTTTTAATTGTTAATTTTAATTATTAGCGTTAAGATATTAGCGGTACGTCAGGTTTGGACTTTGCTACATTATACATTTTAGTTTTTATTTTTCTCTGTCCCCCTCCCTTCATAGGTGAAAAGTTGGGAGAAAGACCTAATTAGATATGAAAAAGTGTTCGAATCCATAATAAAACAAAGGAATTTTACAAAAGAAATAAGTACATTAATTGTTCTTGATATCATTTGTTGAGTCCGCAATTACATGAAGTCCCCAGTGTACTCGGCCTCTGGGTTTCATCATTTGCCAGGGAAACCGGAAATGGGCGGACGATCAGTGATCTCGGAATAACCTGCACGTTCAGCCCTGCAGTCGGAGCACAGCCGTATGCCGTCGTTCCCATTTACTATGTCCCCAGTAGTCTGGGTCAAAAATGTCGGCCCATAAAGAAAACGAATTCCTCTGACAATATTTCGTATTCAAGCTTTATTATATTTTATTCAACAGAAATGCACATCAAAACATTCACCCGGAAAACCAAGAGCTAGTAAGGGTGCTTCGGGAGCAACTTCAAACAGATCAGGTACTATTGTTTTATAATATGTGCATTTGTGTAAGGACTGGAGTATTTCTCTCCTTACGTAAGAAACTGTGATGGAACATTTTTACTCCTTTTTGGAGACACGGGCTTCTCTGCGGCTTGAAGTTACTGTAAATGATTCTACTGATTGTACATTTTCAGATTAGGCAAATGACTGGTCTTAACCTAATTAAGATGTTTTTATGTATTTATTTGGTTTTAACTTGCTTTAAAAAGACAGAAGTTTTCCGATTACTTACCTGCGAGGAGATAAACACTGTCTAATGGACATTAATGAAATGTAGTAGAAAACCTACTCTTTCTGAAATATGTTCCCCTAAGATCTACCGAAAGGCTTTTTTTCCTTTTCTTCTTCTTCAGTGGTCAAAGTTAACAAAATGAGTTGGGCAAAGAAGAAAACGTTTTTCTGCCTCTTCTTTGCTTTTTAACCACATGGACTAAGAACTGGAAATGTAATACCTTTCATGAAGACTGGATTAAGTTGGATATTGTGCACCTTCATGCTGAGATAGCTACCATCAAAAAACAAAAAAATTAAAAATTGATGGCCGACCTGCCAGTCAAACCTCCAAACAGGGTTTTATGATTTATCCATTCACCAAATATTTATGGAACATCTACCGTATGTCAGACACTATTGTGGGCGTCGCGAATTCATTTGTGAATGAAACAGACAGGAATTCTTGCTTCAGAGAACTTAAAATTCACTGATGCAAAAATCATTTAAGCGTATTAGTGGTACTCTGTTTCAG